TAGCAGAATAACCAGATCAAAACAGATAATTATAAATGTAAAATTTCTAGCAAAAATAATGAAAAAAGTAAAGAAAATGATTGTTGTTATTTGATTAGGAATAATGATCTTGGTCTTCAAAAATACAAAAATTAATAGAAGTTTTAAATGATGGAAGAAATCTCTTATAAGGTTTAATTTTTTCAAATTAATGAATATCATTAGTCATTCTATGGGTGCACTTCGTTACTACTATCAAGTTTAGTCCAACAATAAGTAATTGCATATAAAATAAGACAAACAGAAGTTAAAAATCCATAAAATACACTGAATAATCCAACAGATAATCCATAAAGAAATCCTAAAACTTTTTTGTGCGTTTCATTTGACCAAGTTAATATATTACCACAAGGTAAGACTAATGCAAATAATAGACATATGATTTCTCCAATCATTGTTAAATACAAAATTACTCTCCATGTTGCTTCTTCTTAAAGTTCATCCTTGTATCTAACGGCAGTATCAATCAAAAAAATAATCACAGCTAAAATTCCGATAAGAAAACCAAAAAACATTTGGTAGTATCCTCCCTTAACGTTAGAATTAGAATCTGATCTTTTCCTCCACAGCACCTACAGTTTTAAGAGCTCAAGTATGTTAAGTCATTAAATTGATTAAAAATATAATCATTAGCGCTGATTCCAATTCTGACTTAATTGATGTCAAGAGATATATTATGGCAATTATTAATTAAATGGTGTCCATTATTTTATAAGTATATTCTCTATAATATATTATTGCCTCACCCTCCATAAAATACTAGCTCTCTTGCTTTACGACAAAATAATGAAAAAAGTCCAACCTACAAATTGTGCTACCAGCTCACCAACAGGTTAATCCGGTAAATCTCTAGTAAAAAAAATAACAATAAAGAAAACTATTCTAATTCCAATTCCAATTGAAATGTCGTAATCTAACCTTATAACTTTCTGACAGTTTAATAAACAAGAGAATATCCCCTCTACTATGTCCAAAATGTTTTCAACTGACATAAAGAGGAAAAACAATAATATTTTTATAATTTTATGGTTATATCAAATTCGAATAATTTTGATTAAAATTATATACGATATTCAATGTGAATGAAGTGCAGACTAGATTTGAAAGATAAATTCTATATGAATTTCATAAAAAAACAAAGTGAATCCTAAAGAACCGCCAAACACTGATTTAGAAAAACCTAGTCTCAATTATAATTGGAAAAAAAATAGATGATAAGAATGTTTAGAAAATAAGGTTTTGAGAATAGGGGTTGGTAGAACCACTGTAGGTTGGCCTTTTATAGACTAATGAGGGAAATCCAAGAAAACATTGTCTCTAACCTCACGCAATTTTATTTATTATTTTGAACCCGTGGAAGTAGTTATAAAAAAAAGTTGTGTGATTCTGAAAAAAATCCAAAAAAAAAATTTTCCCGAATCATATAGTCTGGTTGGCCTCAGATTACGTTTCCCCATACCGAGCAAATGGTTTTGGATACTATATATATATTCTCTTTATAATAATATTGCAAATGGTCATCTAAACTTATTCCAGGACTCAAACTGTATTGATCTTCTTTCCTGAC